TAAAAAGTTTATTAAACTGAATGTATATATTATGGTCTGATGTGAACTTCATGTAGGATGGCACTGGCAGGAGAGGCTCAAAATCTTGAAAAAAAAATCTGGAACCTGACACGTTGCAGTAACAAATGTAGCTACTTAGAAACTTGTATCTTTCTCTACACCATATATAAAACATTAAAACACAACTTCACTCTAACAATTCACAATCAATTTCAATTCCCATTAGTTAAAAAAACAAAAAAACAAAACAAAAAAAAAAACAGAAAAAAAAAGAATAATAATAATACAAACCCCACTTGGCTAGTAGTGGGATTTAATCTGGTGATGTGACTTGCCATGGCTTTTCGAGAAGCACCTGCTGCCGCCCAGAGCTTTCTAATGAGCTATCTAGAGACCAAGGACCAAACAACTTCCCTGTATTTTCACTCCTCTGCCCATTATCATGGCCCCCTATGCAGAGATGAAAGCACTCTTGACAGCTCCTCTGCAATCTAGGTATGGAGACTCTTACAAAGTCCTGACAATAGCTCTCTCCAAATACAGCAGCCCAGCTCCATTCTAGCACTTCCCAGCACAAAGTTATGAAAAAGAAATATATAGAAAGTTAGCTTCTTTGTTCCCCACCTCACCCAAATAATGTTGTAATTTACTTTTTCTTCACCACAATAAACAATAAAGTAACAATAAACCAAAAAATTGTCAGTGCAACCCATTTAACCTGGAAACATTTTGTGACTGCAAAGAATAATAGCTTCCTAGCTATGGACTTGTTTTTGTTGTTAATTTGCATTCCTGATGCAACTTAAAGTCCCCCAAACCTTAAAATGAGGTAAGTCTGACACCACCTATCCAGCCACACACACACATAGATCATATCCTGCTCAGCAAACTTTTTAAACTGATATTTAGCTCCTCTGGAAGTCTGTGCTGCTGTGACTGGTTTTGGTAGGAGATAATCTGAAAAGCTTTCTCAGATAGTCCTTCACCTTGCTATGCCCTAATGCATGATGTGCCAATTTTGGAACGGGAGTAGCATCCAGGTGCTCTGGCCTTCATCCTACCCTAGAATTTTTTCTTTTTCTTCCTCTTTTCAAAGCCATGTGGCTTCAGTTACGTGTAAGATATAGCATAAAAAGTTAACTACAAGACACAAAATAGGAAACTAGCATAAACATTATGAAGTGGATAAAGATTTAAGCAAAAAAGGGAAACTAAAACCCACCCCTAATCCCCACAATAACCAGTTGTGCTGAAAGAGGAATTAGGTGATAATAAAAATAGCTGATCAAGAATGCTTTCACAATCAATTATATACAACATTTTACTTCATGACCTTGGCACAAAAAATAAGTATGCACTAATTGCATCCGTTGATAACCCCAAATTATGACACAGTGTTGGCACTGGGGAATTGGTGTATTACAAGAAGCACTATGTGACCTGAGGATTGAAGTACAAAATATCCAAAGGAACCAAACAGTGCAAAGGTCATGCATTTGTTAGTGATAAAAAGGGTATGTGCAACACATGGGGAATTAATCAACTGAATGAAAAGAGAGTGGAGGAAAACAATCCAAGTTACTAATGAAAAGCAAAATCTCTACATTTCACAAATAAGATATAGCCGAAATAAAGGCAAATGTGATTCAGACAACATTTCTAGGAAAGATAGGGACATACTAATGTCATAGTTCAAGGCACCAGGGTAGAATATAACTTATAAAATGCTAGTACCTGGAATAGATTTTACACACCTCCAGGTATGCATTAATTTTTAGCAAAAAGGCAAAACACTGTATGCTTCTGAAAGGTAATACATGCCCAAAACATATTAGCAGCATGACTATTTCAACAGAAAATCAGCTTTTAGACTCAAACTTTAGCATGTAAATGCAAATATTTGTTTTAAATTTCAGTCTCCCCTGAAACCTACCTTTCAATTTACAAGACTGAGCATATAAAACTGGCATGGGATCACTTAGTGCAATACTTAAACATTTTGAGGAATAAATTAGCTTTTCCATGAAAAAGAATTGGTAAGAACATAGAAAACTAGTTTAGGTGTATTTGAAATACATTGCTTCTGTTTCTTATAAGTAATTTTGTGCAATATTTAACAGGAATTTAACATCTTGCAGGGATGACACCCTTCTAAACAGAGGTGAGAGCAATTTGCCCCACTCCAGTCTTGTCAAATCTGTTTGCTTACCATTGGATCTAGTCTCAGTCAAGACTTAGTAATGGACAGAGGTCACAGCTCAACTTTGTACATTCATATAAATCATACTAGTAATTTTACATTCTTCTGTAAAGTACAGGTTGAAAGTCTGCACTGAGGCTCGAATTTTGCCTGTTAACCCCCAAAGACCATTTATTCCAAACGGATGTTATATCTATTTTCAAATAGCAGAACAGTTGTTAGGAAGTTTTGTTTCGACTATCTGGATGGAAATGGGTTCTGCCTAGGTATGCCCAAGAGATACTAGCCTTCTTAGCTTGAATAATCCTTTGGAAGAAGTGTGGCTAGGAATCAAGTGACTAGGTATCAAGTTCATGAACTGTGAGTTAGAAGGTCTGAATCCAAGTGGAATGCAGTGGAGGAAAAAACTGGTATGAAAGGGCATAGTATCTCCAGATAAGTTCCAGCTCTAACAAAGTAATATGCAGGGTAATCACCTGATATTAATCACTGGCTCTGTGCTGCTAGAAGCATGCAAGTGTCCTGCCAGCTTTTTAGCTTAATGAGAAAAGAGAGTGCCCTGTGTAGTAGAACTAAAATAGACAGCTGCAAGTGATGTTCCCATTTCTGTACACCTACCTCTACCATGACAACAGTAGATGTTCTACTACAGCAAAATATGCTTATGCTTCTAACTTTTCCTAGCCTCACAGTAGTTTCTGAGTGGCTGACAAGTCCCCCCATGAGAGGGGCTGGCGATTTGCTGTAAGTCTCTCTTACAGTATGCACCAGTTCAAACTAGCTCCAAAGCTGGAAAGGCCTTCTGCTGCAGTTCATAATCTCAGCAAAGAGCCAGCAATACAGCATCTCTGCTTGGGAAAACAGATTTCCCAGTGAAAAATATAACCCCGTGTATCCTTCATATGTAAGGAGACAAAAGGGTCTATGCCTAAATCCCATGTGGCTGCAACAATGAGCAATATTATTGCTCAGGAGATAACAGCAGCATGTACATCAGAAATGCAGAAAGCAAAATACTACTATTGTGGAAATCCCTTGCTGAATTCTGTGCAGTGCAGGTTTTGGTAATGATCAATAATGAACTGAGTATTCTACCAGATAAAACATTAAAAAAATAAGAAAGCGCTATTGATTTTAAGATATTCTGCTTATATTTGTCCTACACTGAACTGTCACTTTGTGTTTTCCTCCTTTACAGATTCTGCCTTAGATGGTAATTCAGAAAACAGTGTATGTGATAAACTTAGTATAACCCCACCCACTGGCTGATTCAGGAATACCAACTGCAGCAGTAACGCCTGAGTAAATTCTAGAGTAATTCTTTACCTTCTAATCCGTGGATTAACCAAAAAGACCACTATCAGCAAATACTGCTCACTCACTTAGAGATCATACGAGAAATGTTAAATGAGTGTATTTCCTACTACAACCTTTAAAGACTGGGAGTTCTTAACGTGACTGAAGACTTGACCAAGACATTATACATGCCAGATTTTGTACATACGAACAGATATTTAAGGCACAAATATTCTAATGCAATACTCTGTAATAAAACTATTTAAACACTATATAAATTCAAACCAGTTACTAGCAGCAACAGTGCACTATGTCAATACCCAAACGTTTAGTATCTGGGAGTCTGTGAAAAACTGGTAAACTTCTGCTCTGGTCAGCTTTTGTGCTTGGGAAACACTTTTTGCACCATTAAGATTAAAAGCTTGCAAATAAATTATTCAAATTCTTCTGCAAATTAAAGCGTGCAGGTATGAACAGGAGTGAAGTAATTACATGTTAGAATTTATAGGGGAGATCCTACTCAGTTTAAGAATTTCAGGTATAAATTTGAATTAAAATTAAATGTTAACAGTATCCAATCAACGAAAATAATTTCAAATGGGTTTGGCAGGGATGTTAGAAGTTACTAAACTTTTAAGGATTTCCACTGGCACCTCTTCCGTGACTCTGGCATACCTAAATAAATAAGTCTTGTCCAGTTTTGGAGAAGTCTTAAAAATTAACTAATCCAGTTCAGGTGTGGATGTACAAAGCCCAGCCTCCCAGACTGACTTTCATGTCTTGGTCTTAAAAATTGAAGTCAAATAGGAGTTCAAAGTCTTTTTGTCATTCACCTATTCCCAGCAGAATTCAACCCTTTTACCTTCCCTTAAAGTTAAACCTTGATTCTGACATAATCAGCAGAACATACATTTTTATTCGACTACTTCCAGCTGTAACAGTACACATGCATATAGACATGCATACTGTCTACTTGTCTGGCAGAAAGGTGTATCATTAAGGCAATGTAGGCAAGTTCAGGTGGTCTCCCTAACAGCAGAAAACTGGCTCAGATTACACTGTTGTTATTTTTAACAGTGTATCTAATATTTTTGAGTACGAGATACTGTAACAAAAACCAAACAGGCTTTAAAAGTCATAATTTATAAAGCTGTTTCAAGAATAGTTCATTACTGACACACATTCTTGCTGATGTTAATGAAGTGACACATGAATAAATTGGTATTAATGTGTTTTGGTATATCTTAAAAATTACAACATCTAAAAGCTTTAAGGCATTTCTTTTGAGTTATCCCATAGTTGTCAATTTGAAAACCACAGCACAGATAATGAGATACTATGGCAACAGACCAAACTGGAATGTCTTGTATATGAACCTGTGTAGACAGACCTTTTCAATTGTTCCTTCACTTGCTACTAAAGCCAAGCATTTCTTCTGTGAGGCAACCCTGCTGGCATACATTAAAAAAAAATGAAGTTGAATATTATTAAATTAAATATCTACCTGAGAGCTTCATTAGGAGCTCAGACGCTGCCTTGACTGACATATCCTGCCTCATCACATTTGGCTGTGCTTCCTGTGGCTTGAGTTTCTCCTCAGAGACATTTGGAGCTGAGGCTTCGGATTCCTGGCTGAACACATAGCTGGGCTGAGACGAGGCTGAACTTGCGGCTTCTTCATCTTTAGGCTCCTCTTTCACTTTAAATTTAGGAGTCAAGGGTTCTTTTTGATTTGCAGCTGTCAAGAGAAGGAAAGAAGTAAGAATTAATGGGATATGTAATAGATAATCATAGAGCAGCTAGTAACAGGAAGAAACCATAACCTGAGCAATGGTAGAGCAAGTACTGGAAGCAAGCATGTCAAACAGCATTCAAGAGGTAAACAAACATCTGCATCTTTTATACAAAGGGACAGTTTCAAAACACAAAAACTTCATGTACCAGAGCTCAAGAAACCATTCTCCTCTTACTTCTTTGCCCCTACTCCTCCTAAAAGCATTTCCCTGGTGTTTGGTTTGTAGGTCTTCGATAGGCTTTTGTGGAAGCTTAAAACATCATTTCACTTAAGGGTAAACTTGGCAAAGCCCACGGTTACTACATATTGAGTTCTTAAGAGTATGGAAAAGAGGCAAGAGATGAAGAGCAGAAAGACAGGAAACCTAAGAGGGAAGTAAAAGGGAAAAAAAATGGCAAATCCTTTGGATGTAACACTTAACAATTTTGTTCTTTGTCTTTCCAATATCCCACGACAGTGGTAGGTTCTTTGAGCTGTGTTTGGTTGATGGGATAAAACCAAGAATGCCTCTTAAACACAAGCAATATAAATTCACAGCAGACTGTGTGACAAACAGGAGGCTAAGGAGGTTGCACTATTTTTCAGCAGGTCTTCTTATAATTCTTTATGCTTGACCATTAAGAGACAGTTCCTCCCCTGTCTCTTAGTGGCTTTTTCTTGTTCAAAATTTCACTTTAAATTCCCAGTAACACACAGCAGATGACTTGTTCAGAGCCCCAAATTTTGATGAGCTTACACCTCTCACCTCTGTAAACTTCCGGCCCCACAAATATGATAGAGCATCATTGCCATTTTGTCTTCTTTCTGAGCTCTCTCAAGATTTACCTCACTACCCGTCCTACATATTTTCCTCCTCCTACATGACAATCCCCTTCCTACCCTCCTGACTTGCAGATGAGCTCTGTCAAATTTCACTCTGACCACACAAGAAGGATGTACCCCTCCACCCATTTCACAGGCTGCATCAGGGCGTTGGAAGCCAACATGCATTGCCTGCTACAGTGAGATGTTCATTTTACAAACCTGTTTCATGAACAGGAAAAGGCAAGGGACTGTCATATCACAGGAATGATAATACCCAGCTGAAGGGGCAGGGTACTAACAGGTCAAATCAACCAACAAAAACTGGCAACATTCACTTCCTTAAGCCCTTGGTCTACTTCGTCCTCCTCCTCACTGCTTTTACCTGCTCTCCAGCTCCTCACCTTTCTGGCTTATTTCCTCAGAGATTACCCTTCTCGGCAGTTCCTCCAAAATCTGATTCCTAGAGAATCTGTATTCCTGCATCCCAACGTGAATTGTTCACCATCTCTCAGAGGGCTCAGCCCTAAAATATGGGGTACAATTGCCATCTTTATTGCAAATAGACACTTCCATTTCCTACTCTGAGCTTTGGTCATTTTCACAGGGTTCATAATTTTGTGGTTTTCTTTGTGGTTTTTTTTTGTTTGTTGTTTTTTTGTGGTTTTTTTTTTTATTCTTATTTTTTTAAAGCTACTAACTGCATAACTTTGTAAAACAACACTTAGATATTTTCAGTTTATATTCCAGGGTTGTTTGATTTTTCTCCTGTCTTACTGGTTGGCAAACCAAAACCAAATAACAAGTTTAAAGCAAGTGGAATAAAGAGTGTACACATAAGCAACACGTATATACGCACTGGTGTTATTCACTACTTCAGAAATTACTTTACCTTATATGTGTAATTTTTAATATGACCTGTGAGTCTTAAGAATTGTTTTTTCTTCTTTTAAAGAAGAGGAAAAGCAGAAATATGAAATGCTAAAGCATGCTTTCATTCATCAAAATACAGGTTAAGGCTCTCAAGCTCATCTTAACTTCATCCTGGCTCAAACCAGGACAGCACTTACAAAAAAAATAAATAAATCCATCTATCTTTACCTAGGTATACATTTTCCTAGCTCAGTCTCTTCTGGGGTTTGACCCAGGGTGAAAACAAAGACCCACACCGTCTATGCAACACTACTTTCTGCATTCCTTCTCTTTTACAACATGCCACTCGAGCTGCTACTGATATGAAAAATACCTCCACGAGGAGCTGAGTGCAACTGAGAAAGAGCTGAATTTTTGGAGAACCAGGAGAAAAAAATATCTTAATTTATTAATTTCAAGATCATCTTAATTCAAACTGTAAAAAACCCCACAAAAACCACCAAACCACAAACAAAAACCAACCAACCAAACAGAAAAACACAAACATGAGTCGAGTGAAGACGTAAAGACAACCCGCTGAGAATAATCATGAAGTGGGGCAGAAAAGGAACCAGGTATAGAAAGCACTATTGGTCAGGTCACCATACACTTCTACCATTTAAAATACAGAGGTGAAATTCACACATACATATCAGTGTAAGTTTGTAACCATACATCATAGCCCGTTATAAACCAGGCTAAGAACAATGTGAAAAAATCCGTATAAAAATAGAGTCACTGTAACAGAATTCATATCACAACTTTAACCTAGGAATTGTTTTCAGAGTCAGATGCTACAGTCTGCAGTGACAGATGCCATAAAGATTCCCCCACCACAAGAAGCAGGATGAAAGAGGTGCTTCTGGAAGAAACTGACATTTGTTAAACACTCATCACCAAGCCAAAACTGGGCAGCCAGTTTGACCCAATCCAGGGGCAAGTGTCAAGTGCCACCTCTATGCTCTTCATCCCACAGTATTCTCATCTCATCTGCTGAGATAAAGCTAAATTCTAATAGCTCAGGGAACCAAAAATTCAAGGTAGGTCATACCAGTTTGAATAGTTTCACGATAATGACACATTCACAATGACTTGAATGGGGCATCCATCAAGCTTTCCTACTTCCCTGTGCCTCATTTTTCCTTTCTGTCCCTACCCCACACATTAGCTGTCCTACTGTGACATGCTGCTATAAGCCACTGCTCCCTCACACTTCTGAGCCACCACTCAGGATCATAATGCTAAAACTATGTTAACAACAAATCTGCCAGCACAACATCAGACATAACCTAAGTGAGCTCTTCATGAGATCTGTATCCTCAGTTTGTCCCTGTGTGTCTTGTCTACAAGACATCACCTGTCAGAAACATAAAACATGGTCAGGGCCCCACAGTCCAGAGGAAATCCTGAAGACGCAGGATTATGTGAAGGGGAAAAGAAACCCAGACTATGGTTCTTACCTGTGTTGCTGCTTCTGCCTGCTTTTCCTGCTTTACTTTGAAGAGTAGATAGAATTAATAAATTATTAAATAAGTAGGGGTTTATTTCTTTAATTAACTGACAGCACATTCCTTGACTTGACCAAACTTTCCAAAACCCAAACATTTTAATTGTAGACAGATCACAAAACTAGAAGAGTTATTTACCTCCTTTTTCTTCCCCCCAAAACCAAAATCAAATCAAATCAGACAACTGCTGGGTCAGGTTTAACCCAATTGCCTCAATTAATGGGGCTTTTGCTCTTTCTTGAAATATACTAAAGCAGATTCCAACGTAAATGAATCCTAAGCAGAAGGACAAATAAAGGGAGAGGTTGTCGAGCCTATCAGATTCATACATTAAAACTAGAGAGGAAAAAAATCCTTCCAAAACCAAAAAATAAACAATCCTGAAAACAACAAAAAACCCCACCACTCTTGCTTCTATTCCATCTTGGATCTATAGTAATGGGCAAAATTGCTAACACATGGGAAATAGCAACTATGATGCATGTACTAGTCATATTGTGGAGAACAATAAACAGATGTAAGAAAAAACACTGCAAATAAGGGAAATATATGTTGACTGAGACATGCTTTTAAAAAAACCACTTACGCTTGAGGAGCATTTTAAAAACTAGAAATAGACAAGGATTAAAAAGATGATGTTGAAGTCTATTAAAGTATATTTGAACTACAAAATTATTACTTTCCAGAAGGAATATCCTCTATCTATATACAAAAATAGATACACATACATACACTTAATTTGTATTTAATTTACATTCATTCTGAAGTGCAATGAGAGCAGACTGAAGGATGTGTTGCCTGCAGACTGAATAAAAAAAAAAAATAAAATCCAGCATTTTAATTTCTAAATACACACTGAGGGGAAAAAAAAAAAAAGCAAAACACCCAGCAAACGCTGACAGGGAGCAGTGTCTCAAGCAGGGCTGGTAATTCTCCATTTGTTCCATTCCACATTCCCCCAAAAACAGGTCAAAGCAGATTCCAGACAGCAGATTTTTATCTTCCTGGCAACTGGAATAATTTGATCCATTTGGCAAAAGTAGATGATGAAAGTTACAACACTTTTCTCAAACTGCCAAATGCCACAAGAAAAGCTTTGGGGATCTGCCACTAATCTGAAACACTCTGATAGAAGCTGCTAACTGCACCAGTCCACTTATGAGGATTTCCAAATGCTAAAAAGGTTTATAAATGAGAGAGAGAAAAATGGGCTGATTGCTTCAAATCAAGTTCAACATTACAAGTTCCAATCAGCAAGGAGTTGGTCACTGGTCCATGTGCCAGAGCAAAGAACACAAGAAAGGAAAAAGGAATCCACAACAAAAATGTCACTACAAAAGAAGGCACAAAAAAGTTATCTACAGAGGCTGGATTGAAAGGAACAGTGATGAAAATGCCACAGTGCACCACTGCACCATCACATTATTTTACAAGTGATGCCCGACTACAGCTACGGAGATGAGAGAGAGCAGGCCAGTCACAGCTGAGGGAAAAGGGAAGAAGTGAGCACATGCCCCAAAAGGCACAGCAAATTGACTGGGTCTCCTTGAGATCTTGCAGGAAAACCTCCAGTTGTGATTCTTCTCAGAGCCACCATGGCAAGAGAACCGTGGCATGACCACTACCTCAGGGAGAAAGGACAGTGTTTTAACCAGGTTCTACTGGAGCTAGAGCACCTGAATGACACAGGGAGCCTTTCGCTCCAGGTGGTAAATTGTGAGC